GGGGGGGGGGGGGGGGTGAATTAGTGCAGCGGATTAAAATGTCAGTTTTGGAAAATCTTTCGTACGATAAAAACCGAACTCGGAATTGCTTAACTTGAAAGCGTGTTCGTAAAGGTGTGTAGCAAAAGTAATGAGGAAGTAAAGCACGTATGAAGGTTTGCAGTAAGGTAAATAGCAATAAGTAAATGCAAACTAGAGAACATGTCAATTTTATAGTGGTTCGGTCAAATGACCTACATCCACTTGCGAAGCCTTCTTTGATGAAGCTCCCAACTTCCACTAGCAAATCACTTTGAAGGGGAAGGACAAATACCCCTCTTACAACATTTTACAAGTGGTTCACACTCTTACAGATTTTCAAAGAGAATGAGAGAGGTGAATACTTAAACTATTGAAAACAAGACTTGCTAAAGACTTTGCTAAGGCTTTATCTCAATCTCTAACTTTTTAAAGGTTGTTTTCTCTGTTGAGAATTGAGGGGTATTTATAGACCCCAAGAGGATTCAAATTTGAGCTCCAAATTTTGAATTCCTTTGGGTTCTCGATGCTGGTGGTGCCACCGCCTGTCAGTGGCGGTGCCACCGCCTATCAATGTCATATTGACCGTTTACTGGCGGTGCCACCGCCGGTCGGTGGCGGTGCCACCGCCCGACCTTTCAGGTGCTGGACGGTGCCACCACCTAGTCCGACGGTACCATCGCCTAATCCTTCGGGTTTTGGGCGGTGCCACCGCCTAGACTATTTCAGCTCACTGGTTAGGCTCCAAACTTGGCCCAAACTAGTTCAAACTCGGGCCCAATTGACCCCTACTTGGGTTATAGGATTAACACCTAATCTTAACCCTAATTAACATGCTAACTACGAATTTAAAGATATTTCCTAAGCTATTACAAAGTCCGTAAGTCAAGACTTCTTCCGGTGAGCTTCCGGCGAACTTCCGACGATCTTCCGATAAACTCTCGGAAACCATTTTGCGGACTCCCGGCAAGCTCCTAGACTTCATGATTTGATCTTGGCGAGTTTTGACGAGCTTCTTCGATAAGCTACGATCTTTCTCGGCGAGCTCCGCGAACTTCCAACGTGCCTTCCGGTGAGCTTCTGAAAACCCTTCGGCAAGCTCCCTACTCATTCTCGGTTAGTTCCGACAACATTCTCGATGAACCTTCGGACTTCCGTCGGACTCTCGAACTCCCAACGAATCCTTCACGCTTGACTCCAGCACTTTGTTTCGCTTTATGTCTTCATCGTTATCGTAGTTAATCCTGCACACACAAGCCAAAACTCTACTCCGATCTAGACAATTATTACAAAGCGAATTGACATTCTGTTGCCCGGTACGTCATTGGTTGGCGCTTCGTCTGATTCTTCAGCGCATTGTCCTCTCTTATGGCTTGTTGCCCAATTGGCGGTTGACCTCCGTAACCCCGATATCCTTGGCGTAATTCCGCTCTCCTTGGCCCGATGCCTGATGTCCGAAGCCTTCTACCGTCCAATATCCTGACGTGATCTCCTCCGGTGCAACGTCAATTCCTCCTGCGTCAACTGTCTAATCTTGATCGAGTAGACCTGCATCACTCAAAAAGCAGTTAAACATCTAAACACAATCGATTAGTTTCATCATCAAAATCCGAGATTCAACAATATTCATATAAAGACCAACCTTGGCTATAAGTTGGTGCTTAAGGATGCGAAGCATATGGTTGACTTGAGGTTGAATTTAATTTCAGTTGGAAGACTAGATGATGAAGACTATGATAGCAGATTTCACAAAGGGCAATGAAAGCTCAGTAAGGGTTCTTTTGTTATAGCTAGTGGAAAGAAATGTCATACTTTTTACAGGTTGCAGGCCAAAGCTTGTGATGAGTAGTTAAATGCTATAGAGAAAGACTTCAGCATCTAGTTGTGGTATAAGTGACTAGGACACATGAGCGAGAAGGGGCTGCAAGCTCTTTCTAAGAGAGAGATATTACCAGACCTCAGAGGTACACATATGAACCCTTGCATTGATTGTTTGGCTAGTAAACAATATAGAGTTTCATTTGCTAGTCCCACTTTGTCTAGAAAAATACATGTCTTAGACCATGTTTATACAGATGTATGTGGTCCTTTGAGGACAAAAACTCATGGTAGATCTGTTAATGTTCCTGGTATTAGTGGTGCACTTTATTTTGTCACTTTTATAGATGATTTTTTCAGAAAAGTTTGGGCCTATGCTTTGAAGACTAAAGATTAGGTTATTAATGTCTTCAAAGAGTTTCATGCCAGAGTTGAAAGGAAGACAAAACGACAATTGAAATGTATAATATCAGATAATGGTGGTGAGTATATAGGATTGTTTAATGATTACTATAGGTCACATGACATCCAACATGAGGGGACAGTTCCTGATACACCTCAGCATAATGCTATTTCAAAGAGGATGAACTACACCATCATGGAAAAAATCAGATGTATGCTTTCACAGGTCAAGCTACTCAAAAGGTTTTGTGATGTGGCTTTAAGGACTACAGTTGATGTGATCAACTTGTCACCATGTACATCCCTAGATGGTGATGTTGTAGAGTATGTATGGTCAGAAAAAGATGTTTCCTATAAGAATTTGAGAGTGTTTGGTTATCATGCATTTGCACATGTTTCAGACAATGAGAGGTCCAAGTTGGATGGTAAGACAAAAAAAAATATTTTTCTTAGCTACTCACATGATCATTTTGGTTACAAGCTTTAGGATCCAGAAAAGCAGAAGGTGTTTAGAAGTAGAGATATGGTCTTATTTGAGGGTCAAACCTTTGAGGATTTGAAGAAGAAGGTACTAGCCAAGACTTCTGCAGAAGGATTAGCAGATTGTGACCCAGTTACTCTAGTATATTAAAGTGATGAGGGAGATGTGCAGGAAGATGATGTAGAGCCTGATGTTGATCTACTTGCAGGACATGTTGAGCAAGAAGAAGTTGGAGAGCAACTTCCAGTAGAACCTCAGTTGAGAAGATCTTCTAGACAACGTCAACCTTCCAAAAGATACTATACATATGAGTAT